CCCCTCCCCACCTCCTCGGTCACGTGCTGGCCGGCGGCCCCCTGGTGCCTCCTACTTTTTCTTTATTTCTGTAAAAGCTCAGTCGTTCAACATATACAAAGTGGGCTCCTCTGCAGATGGAGATCTAGGTCCCGCTGGAGAAAAGAGCGGCCTTTTCTTCTCCATGGTTTGGTCTCCTCTTACTGATCCGAAAAGCCTTGCAGGCATCTTTTTAGAGTAAATGGATTTGTAATTGCCACTCCACTGGGCTTCAGGGACTTCAAAGGACTCTTCTAAAGTAGTGCAGAAGTTCTCCTGAGACTACCTAAGGATAGAGCCTTCCTTCCCTCGCCTTGAAAACTCTGATGGGTTTATCTAAAATTAATAATTTGTTATTAATAGAAAGCACAAATATCTATCAATGAAAGATGGAAAGCTTTTCACTGTGTATTCAGTTAGGTTGTATGTAGGGTTCGTTGCTAACTATTAGGGGGTGCTGTTGGAACCTACCTCCGCTCTGGGAGGAAAGACCTGGCAATTGCACCTGCAAAGATTATGTAGTTTTGGAAGTCCTATGGGACAGTTCTTTTTGCTCCTATACTATGAGTCACATTTAACTCCCAGGAGTACAGTTAACATAAGTCACCTAACTAACCGCAGTAGTCACTCCAGCCTCACATCTACCCTCCAATGGTGTTTCTGAAGATTTCAGGTTTCCAAAGCTCTATGTACCAAGGGAAGACTACCCATCTTTCTCCTGAAAATAGTGGATGCAAACTGCCTTGACATGCAGCCTTCGGATTATCCGGGCAACTCCACCTTGACTAGGCCACCAGAGTTCTACAATCACATACACACAAAAAGAGCTTGGCTCTTGGATTTTTCCTGATACAAACTGTGTGTGTGTGTGTGTGTGTGTGTGTGTGTGTGTGTGTGTGTGTGTATTTGTACATATATACACAAGTGTATATATACTTATAAGTATATGAGGTGGATTGATTCAGTGACAGGGATAACAGGGATGGGAGTGTCAGAGACAGTGCGATTGGCACAGGACAGAGCAGAGTTTAGGACTGTTGTACATAGGGTCGCTATGAGTCGCAAGCGACTAGACGGCACATAACAACAACAACAACAGCAATATATATATACTTATAGATAGATGGAGTTGCTCTTGATTGCCTTCAAGACGAGCACGATTCATAAGCGACCCTGTGAACAAAAGGCTTGAAGACCCTCCACAACTATATTCAAAGTTCATAGCGTTTCGGGAGGCAAGTGGATGCCACTCCAGATAGATATATATATATATATATATATATATATATATATATATATATATATATATATATATATATATATATATATATATATATCAGAATTTAAAGGAGCTTTGTTGCCACTTCAGTAACAATATTGTTGTTGTTATTGATTGCCACTGAGTCAAACATGACTCATAGTGACTCCATGAAACAAAGACCTAATGCCTTTCTATAAGTTTCTCCAAGTTCATAAGTTTTCATAGGCTTGTTATTTAGGAAGTGGATACCACTCCTGCTTCCAAACCTGTCGTACAATATTAGCTCTTAATTTTCTTTAGCCTCTAAAATCCAGAAGTCTTTTCATTGTCCAACCTGAACTCTAATGCTAATCCAAAACAAAGCAAAGCAGCTTTGCCTAAAAGGTCAGGTAGCATGGGAGCAAGTGATTCTCTCTGAGGTCCTCTCCTTACAGAAAAACCATGTTAGGTGTATGAGCATCATGTTTACAGCAGAGGCAGGGAGAGAAGCATTCTTCATACAGATACAAATCACTGCCAATTTCCCTATCAGAGAAATCTTAAAATTAGACCCAAAGCACTTATCTAAAAGAGATTTTGTTTCCTAGAAGCTCTGCCTAGTTGGCCTGTGTCATAGAAAAGGACTGTGGCATTATGAGATCGGTTCATAAAACACAAGGTAGAAAACATGCTCTCAAGGGATTTGGTATTTTCTTGATGACAACATTCAAAATCCTTAAAAAGCAAGCTGAGCCATAAACATTAGGTTGCAGAGGCTCGGACTGGGAAAGAATAGGCTTCTTCAAAGAAAAGGATTTTTTACACCCTACTCTTCCACTCTTTCCTGCCTTGTTGTTGTTAGATACCTTGGAGTCGAGTTCAACCCACAGTGACCCTATGAACAACGAATCTAAACTTTGTCCTATCCTGTGCTATCCTCACGCTTCCTGACACATTAGAGCTCATTGCATTAATTACCAATGTTTCAATCCACTTGGTAGAGGGTCTTCCTCTCCTTGACTGACTCTCTACCTTTCCAAGCATCGTGTTGCTATAAGAAATAGCTGCTACTAGTAATATGCCTTAAGTATGTAAGACAAAGCTTCATCATTCTTGCCTCCAAAGAACACTCTGGCTGCATTCTCTCCAAGACATATTTGTTCATTCTTTTGTCAGTCCATAGAATGTTCAGTGCTCTTCTCCAGTACAACAATTTGAAAGCATCAATTTTTCTTCTGTTATCCTTGTTTACTGTCCAGCTCTCAGATGCAAAGAAAGTGATTGGAAAGACCATGGCCTGAATAAGAAACATCTTAGTCTTCAAACTGACTCTTTATTCCTCAATAATTTGAAGAGGTCCCTAAGTGAAAACTTTCCCAGTGCAGTATGTTTCCTGACTGCTGTACCAAGGATGTTAATTGTGGATCCACGTAAGATGAACATGTTGACAGTTCCAGTCTTTGCTCCATCTACAATGATGTTGTCTATCAGTCCAGTGGTCAGAATCCATGTTTACTCGACATTCAGAGCAATCCTTATGGAAAGCTATATTCTTTAATCTTCTGCAAGAAGTGCATCAAGTCCTCCTCACTTTCAGCATGTAAGGTTGTATCATCGGCGTACTGCAGGTTATTGATTAGTCTCCCTCTTAATCTGATGCTACATTCCTCTTCATAGTTTCAAGCTTCTTGGATAATTTGCTCAGCATATTGATTGAATGTTATTGTTGTTGTTACGTGCCTTTGAGTTGCTTACGACTAATAGCGACCCTATGAACACCAGCCCTAAACTCTGCTCTGTCCTGTGCCAGTCGCACTGTCTCTGACACTCTCATCCCAATTATCCCAGTCACTAATCAATCCACCTCATAGAGGGCCTTCCGCTCCTGCGCTGCCCCTCCACCCTACCAAGCTTGATGTCCTTCTCCAAGGACCTGTCCCTCCTCACAACTTGTTCAAAGTATGTTAGACGGAGCCTCAGAATAATCTGTTCTCTATATAAGTTGAAAAGATAGAGAGATAGGATGCATCCCTGGCGTACTCCTTTCCCAATTTTGAACCATGCAGTGTTCCCTTGCTGTGTTCTGATGACTGCCTCCTGGTCCAAGTATAGGTTTCGCATTAGCACGATCAAGTGTTCTGGGATTCCCATTCTTCTCAGAGTCAGCCACAGTT